ACAGGAAGAGATGGCAGTAGAAGGAGCAGTCAAACCAAGAGAGGAAGAAGAAATTAAAAACACAAATATAGAAGAAGGAGCAAGAGTAAGAGAACAGAGACAGATAAGATCAACCAGAAGACTAAGACCTAGATATAATTGAAAGAGATGGAAAAGGAAATGAATATAAATGAACTAAATTCTCCCTCAAAAAAGAAAAAAAATTTTTACACGACTACAAAAATTAAACATGGATATAATTTATCTCCAAGAAACACATATTAAAAGACAACACTATAAACTATTAGAACAACCAAAAACTAGTAAACTTCACTTTGCATTAGCACATCAACAGACAAATTTATGCAGATTAAGAGGGAAGAATATTAGCGGTGGAAATAATGATGGATCAAAAACAGATACTGAAGGTAGCAATATATGCATCAAATGATAAACAAGAACAATTTTACCAAAATTATATAAAAATATTATGATTATTATGAACTTTGGACTATAAAAGCACTAAACAAGGGAGGATAGGAAGAAATATATTACCTAAGCATTGGTGGCGAACTTATGGCACATGTGCCAGAGGCGGCACTCGGAGCCCTCTCTGTGGGCACAGGTGCTGTTGCCCCAGCCTTGCCTCCCCCCGCGACCCCCTCACCAGCAGCCCTCCTGGAGGAGAATTGCCCCCGAGCGTGATCCATGCGGAGCAGCACAGCCAAGGACATGACAGCCAGGCAGCGTAGACAAGACTCTGCCCTCATGCCCCATTGCGCACAGCTGATGCTGCGGGGCGCAGGCAGAGGGTATGGCCACCATGGCGGTGCTGGACTGCCTGGGTGATCTGTGGCGGACCCTGGAAGCGGTGAATGGCTCTGCAGGCAGGCAGGGTGGGGGCGGGGCAGGGGGTAGAGCGGGGGCGGGTCCAGTTTTTGGGCACTCAGTCTCTAAAAGGTTCGCCATCATTGACCTAGAGTGTTTTTAAAAACGGCAGAAGAACTCTGTATCCAAGATATATGGAAAGAAAAAAATCCAAAGAAACTACAATATACATTTTAGTCAAATAGACATAAATCATGGTCTAGAATTGATATGATATGGACATCCTCGGAACTTAGCATGATGATACAAGAAATTGAAATAGAAACTAATATATGGGCAGATCATAATCCAATATGATTGGATTATGACTTGGAGAGGAGTTAAGAAAAACAAATCTATATTGAAAGAAAAAGAATTCATACAACTAGCGACAAAGGAAATGGACTTTTTTTTCAAAATAAACAAGAAAGAAGAGACATCACTTCAAAATGTGTGGGACATAGCTAAAATATATTTCAGAGGGTTGGCTATAATTTATACTGCTAAAAAGAATAAAGAAAAGAAACAACAACAGTTAAAGTTGAAGGAAGAATTCAGAAAATTAGAATCAGAATTACAAATAGACCCACAAAAGAAAATACTTAAAAAGCAAATGGAGATAATAAAACACAAATAAAACCTAGCTGAGACGGAAAAAATGGCTCAACAGATTAAAAGGGGTAAACAGAACTTTTTTCAAAATGCCAACAAACTGGGGAGATGGTAACACATAGATTGAAAAAAGAAAAAGAGAAAAAACTGTTGCAAGACTCAAAAGGTGAATTACAGTTTCAGAATGATACAATTAAAAAAATTAGCAAAGACTATTATGAGATACTTTACAATGCAGAGGAAATTTGAAAAGAAAAAATACAACAGTATTTAAAAAAAGCAGACTTACAAAAAATCTCAGATAATATTCAAAATATATTAAATGGAAAAATATCAATGATGGAGATTAGAGGCTATAAAAAGGCAAAAAAATGATAAGACCCTGGGTCCAGATGGATTACCCATAGAGCTTTATAAATCATTAACAAGATATACTAAGCCCAATATTAAAAGAACTGTGCAATGAAATACTTTTGGAGGCTAAAATACATGGACTGAAGCCAATATTATCCTAATACCCAAACAAGACTCTGATCTAATGCAAATAAAAAATTATACAACAATATCGTTATTAAATGTAAATTATAAAATTTTTGCCTCAATAATAGCAGAAAGACTAAATAAATTTTTGATTGAATGTATATATACAGATCAAAATGGTTTTCTACCTAAAAGACTGATAAAAAATAATTTAATAATTATTCTTGATGTGTTAGAGTACTATGAAATTCATCCAGGGAAACAGATGGCTTTAATATTTCTAGATGCACAGAAAGTGTTTGACAACGTAAACTGGCAATTTATTCCAGCAGCTAGAGGAAATGACCTTTGAAGAAAATTTTACAAATGTAATCAAAACAATTTATCATAAACAGCTAAAATAATTGTAAATGGAGATTTTACAGAAAACTTTGGCATTAAAAAAGGCACAAGACAGGGATGTCCACTATCTCCATTTATATTAACACTGGAAGTATTGAATACAAATATCAGGCAAGATATAGAAATTAAAGGACTGGAGATAAAAGATGAAAAATACAAACTACAAGCATTTACAGATGACTTGGTTTTTATATTGGAAGATCCACTTGAAACACGCACTAAATTTATGGAGAAAATAGAAAAATTTGGAGAAATGACAGGGTTGAAAATAAACAGAGAAAAGACAAAAGTGTTTACTAAAAATCTAACAGAAAAACAAAAAAACTAGCAAAAAACCCAAATCTTCAAATAGTTAAAAAATTTAAATATTTGGGAATTTATTTAACAGCAAGAGTGCAACAATAAAAGAAACCAATTATGCAAGATTGCTAAAACAAATAAAATTGGATTTGGAAAAGTGGAAAAATTTACAACTTTCAATGCTCAGGAGAATAGCAACAGTGAAAATGAATATCTTACGGAAAATACTCTTTCTATTGCAAATGATACCTGTAAAGACTGGGAAAAGCCTTTTTTGATGAACTAAATACAACAATACTGAAATTTATCAGGCAAGAAAAAAAGCTAGAATCAGACTGAAAATGTTACAAGAAGCAAAAGAAAGTGGAGGATTTGGACTGCCAGACTGGACGTTATACTACCAAGCAACTATATTAACATGGACTGGACATTATACTACCAACTATATTAACATGGCTTAAAGAGTGGATAATCATCAGATAAAGACTATTATACCTAGAGGGGCATAACCTACAACTTAGTTGGCATGCCTTTCTGTGGTATGGGAAGAATAAAATTCATAGATACTTTCAAAACTACTTTATAGGAAATGTACTTCTTTTAGAATGGGAAAAAATAAAAGCAAAAATTTATATCAAAATACCTGGATGGCTTTCAACAATGGAAGCATTTGCTTACCCAAATTTAATGAATTACAACAAAGTTCTGACCTATAAAGATATTTTGGACAATGAAGGGAAATTGAAAGACAGATAAGATTTACAAAAACGAAGTATTGATCTATCATGGTGGCCATATTTTCAAATTCAAACAAGATATGAAAACGTTAAAATAATGGGATTTTATAAAAAACAGAATTTAACTAGATATTGCTAAAAAAAACAAAAAAATGATTAAGAAACTCTATAAATATTGGTTAAGCTTAAAGATGGAGGAGGAACAAGTAAAAGAAACAATGATAACATGGGCGAAGAACTTTGGACATAATATAGAATTAGAAAACTGGAAAAGGTTATGGGAAAGAAATGCTAAATTAACGAAAGCAGTGGCATATAAAGAAAACTTACATAAAATGTTTTACAGATTTCATTTAATACCAGTGAGATTAGCAAAAATGTTTAAAAATACTTCAAACAAGTGTTGGAAATGCAAACAAAAAAAGCCAGGTACTTATTACGATATCTATTGGACATGCCCTAAAGCAGGGGTGTCAAATTGTCATCCTGAAGCCCATTGCCGGCAATGGCAAAACCATCCCCATGACATCACGAGTTTTACATGTCTGCCCTAAAGCTAAAAGATTTTGGTCAAAAATACACTTATGATTGGAGAAAATGACTAAAAAACAAATAGATTTTAAGCCAGAATTATTTTTGTTAGGAATAGGAGCAAATTATGAGAAAGACTGTATATATTTAATTTTACATGTACTAACTGCAGCAAGAATTGTATTTGCCCAATATTGGAAAAATGAAAATTTACCAACCAAAGAACTAATTAAGAAAATTTTAGAGTATGCAGAAATGGATAGATTGACTTTAAAGATAAAAGAGAAAGAAGAATCAGTGTATTTTAGAACATGGGATAATTTTTATCTATGGCTACAAAAACGAGTTAAGAGAGAAAGGAATGTGATATGTAACTTTGAATATATATTAGCAAGAAGACTACTGAGCAATTAACATATTGTTTATGATAATTATTGATTTTTAAATACATGAACCCAGACAGCATGCTGTTTGCTAAATATTAAGAATGTTATTTTAAAAAATCCTAACCCTAACCCCATCCTATTCGTAATCGCGCGTGTGTGTATGTGTGTGTGTGTGTGTGAAATCCTAAGCCTAACCCCATCCTATTCGTAATCGCGCGCGCGCGCGCGCGCGTGTGTGTGTGTGTGTGTATCCGTTAACCACCACTACTGAGACTATTACTCGTGGCAGAAGCGAATTAAAAGTTTAATTTTACAAATAAAAATAAAAGTTCAGCTGAAATAATACTCTGAAACAATATCTTGAATTCCTACATGAATTACAGCGAACAGGGTTCAGGTGTCGCTGTTTCACATTTCTAGCTCCCGGGACACCAGGCCACACTGTCTAACTTGGACACGCCATGGAAAGACAGGGCAGGGCCGAGTCCAAGGCGTCGCCCACATCCACGGCCAAGTACCACCCTCCATCTACGAAGAATCACCCCTGCAGGCGGGGCTCCCCCCCTCCCTCACGCCTCTGTAACAGAAAGCTAATAGGAGCCGCAGTTCAGACCTGGCCGCCCAATCATTGAGAACGAAGCAGCACAAAACTACACTACCCAGAATGGCTTGCGGTGGCGGCAGCATGCAAGCACCATCCATTCACCTGATGTTCCGCGCGGGGTTCCCCCTCCTCGCCGCTTCAACTTGGGCATGGCAGCGGCCTACAACGGTAGTATCTTCGCGCGACTTCTGCTGGCGCTCCGGCACCGAAGTCTCGGTCTCTGGTTTTACTTTCTTTCCTTCGTCGGGCGGTAGTGACAATCAGCGGATGGAAGACCAGGAGCGCTTTTTACTATAGAATTGTCTTTCAGAGGCCGGCTTCCCGGACCGAGGCAACTGATGCGATTGAGGAAGGCAGTTGATAAACAAAGCTGCTGAAGCGGTAGAAATCCCCGTGGATGCCCGTAAACGGAATCGATACATCTTTCTCCTCTCAGATGCCTGGAACTAAAGTCGCAGGGCGGCTACCGACCCGACTTTTATACAAAGCTACAGAGGCGGGCTCAATGATATTTAAGGTGTGGCTTTAAAACAGCCAATAGAACCCATCGTTCTAGTGACATTTCAGCGAGAAATCGTGCGTAAATGTCTAGCCCGGGGGTAGGCAACTTTGGCTCTCTTATGACTGGTGCTGGCTCAGGAATTCTGGGAGTTGAAGTACACGAGTCATAAAAGAGCCAAGGTTGCCTACTCCTGGTCTAGCCTCTGTAGTTTTCCATTCTATTCGCTAATGACTGCTTTTGTTTACAGGGCGACGACTTGCGTCGATTTTTCCCCCTGTGGACGGAAGTTTCTATGCAGCTTTACATTCTGGGAAGTATAGTTTATAGCCTTGGAGCCATTAAGGTGGACAAAGTTCTCACGTCGCCGGTCTCGCTTCTACCCGTGTCCTGGTATGACCTTTTGAAAGCAAGACGGGAGAACCTCGCCGACGCGGTGTGGATGGTTCCCAGTTTTTCTCGGTTCCAGCAACTCCCGGAAAGCTGCTTGGGGTAATTACAGGGGTGTGTGTGGATGTCTGCATTGTAATCACAGCACCCTCTCAGAAGTGACAATATGATAAACTAAATAACTGCAACCAGTATAAAGTAGAGAAATTAGAAAAGAAAAAGAATATTTATTTTACAGAATATTAAATTGTTGCTACATATACATGCGGGATTTTGATCATCAAATCATAAAATGAATTTATTATCAGTATTTCTTCTCGTTACAAAAGAACTACATTAATCAGAATGGCTTACAGCGGCCACACCTAGAATACTGCAACCAGTTTTGGTCTCCACACTATAAAAAAGATGTTGAGACTCTAGAAAGAGTGCAAAGAACAACAAAGACGATTGGGGGCCTGGAAGCTAAAATATGAAAAACAGTTGCAAGAACTAGGCATGGCTGGTCTAGTGAAGAGAAGGACCCTGGATGAGATGATAGCAGTGTTCCAATATTTAAGCGGCTGTCACAGAGAGGGGGGCAACAACCTATTTTATAAAACATCTGAAGGCCAGACAGGGAACAACGGATGGAAACCAATCAAGGAGAGATTCAACCTAGAAATAAGGAAAAATTTTCTGATAGTGAGAACAATCAAGCAATGGAACAGCTTGTCTTCAGAGGTTGTGTGTACTTCATCACTGGAGGCTTTCAAGAAGAGACTGGACAGCCACTTGTCAGAAATGATAGAGAGTATCCTGTTGAGCAGGAGGTTGGACTAGATGACTTACAAGATTCCTTCCAACTCTGTAATTCTGTCATTCTGACTGGAAACTAGTTAACAATATTCATACAAACATTTCATATTTTTTAATGATCTAATAAAACTACTAGTGCAAGTTTGGAATCCAAATAAAACATCTGGGATAAAAAAAAAAGGTTGGGACATGCCAGCAGTAATTTTTTTTAACAATCTATTTTTTCTAAGGATCAGATTTTCTCATTTGTTCATACAATGTGGTAAAAGGCTGTGTAAATACTTTGTAAAGTCAAAAAGAAGTTAGTTTCTCAAGCTGCCAGTACAGTATGTGAGAGTGGAGTATATTTTACCCTTTTTAATAGAGAAATAAATAATAAAATAAATTTTATTTACTTTAACAGTTGAAATGTTGACTTTTAGCTATAATAAAGATTAAATTGTCATCTATATTAATATCAAACAATGAAATGTTTCTTCAATATCTGAAAGTCAGTGTGCCATTTGCATACAGGATTCATAGTGTCCAAAGAAAATACAATATTAGGAAAAACATTGAAAATACTAAGATTTCATACATTTTGTCCGTTTTTATTTCACATAAAAATCAAGCAAAACTAATTACATATATGAGAGAAGATAATGTAAGAAATGTTCATAATGGATTTTAAAGGCAATGATACATAAGAGTTTATGTACAAATTTTACTAGTATTTTGTCATGTTGGAAAATCTAAGAACTAAGTCCTCAGATTCTTACAGCATTTATGCATTTGTCTGTCTTATCTGAAGGTAACCAGAGAGATTGACGGAAAAAATAGAAATAGAAAATATTTCTAGCAGATTATAATAAGAGTTAGCAACTAAAAATGGATTATCAGCATCATTTACAAGCCAGCTTTGTACAAATCATTAGCAAATACCTTGGGTATACCTAGGCCACAGGTCGGCAACCTGCAGCTCTGGAGCCACATGTGGCTCTTTGAGCCTTCTGCAGCTCCCAGCCTCCTCTGCCATTTGCAGAGAGAGAGAGAGAGAGAGACAGAGAGAGGCACTTGCACTTCCCTTCTCTCTCCCTCTCTCTCTCTCTGTGTTTGTGTGTGTAAAAAAAAGAGTGCCCTCACCCTATTTTCCGACAACCTGACAAGCTTATTGGGCGGGGCTCCTACCTTGGCTGCATCTCTGCAGGAAGCAGGAAGGGCAGGAGAGAGCCAGCCTCTTGAAGAATAGCTTGAAGCCAGCTTGCCAGGTGAGCAGAAGATTGGAGAGAGGGAGGAGGGGGGAGAGAGAAAGAGAGAGAATGAGAAAGAGAGGAGAGGGGAGAGGAAAGAGGGAGAGAGGGAGAAGGGGAGAGGAAAGAAAGGGAGGAGAGGGAGAGAAGGGAGAGAAAAAGAGAAGGGGAGAGGAAAGAGGGAGAGGGGAGGAAAGGGAGAAAGGGCGAGAAAAAGATAAGAGGGAGAGAAAGAAGGTGGGAGAGAGAAAAAAGGAGAGAAAAAGAGGGAGAGAGAGAGAACTCATGCACAGCAGCCTCTATTTCTTTTTAATTAAACTCTTCAAGCTCCCCCCCCCTTGTATACGCACATGCGCGCACAAGTTTTGCAGCTCCCAGTGTTTTCTCTGGGAAACGGGTCCAAGTGGCTCTTTGAGTGTTTAAGGTTGCAGACCCCTGACCTAGGCAAATGCAGCACAATATTGTACTGTCACCTAGTGTTTCAATTGCATTTAATCACTATAAAGGAAAGTGAGGACATGTTGGAGACAAATGAGGGGATATAGATGGATCCTGCAAAAGTGAAAGCTGTATTGGAATGGCAACCCCCTCGCATCCATAAACAACTTCAAAGCTTTCTGGGGTTTGCTAACTTTGGCCGCCAATTTATCTCCTCTTTCGCAAAGATAGCCATGCCAATAACCAACTTATTGAAAACGGGGAGGGAGGGAGAAACCCCGACCTTGTCAGCCATTGCCTTGGTCCCTAGAATGTCAAACAGAATTCGAGAATCTAAAAAGACTCTTTGCAACCAAATCTGTTCTCAAGCACCCTGATCATGAAAAGCAATTCATCATTCAAGCCAATGCGAGTGGCGTGGCTGTGAGTGCTGTTCTCTTACAAAAAAATTACCGGGGGGGGGGGTTTACAACCCTGCACTTACACTTCCTGGAAGCTGACAGAGCGGTGGGATTTTTGAGAGAAGGAGGCTTTTGCAGTACAATGGGCATTACTATTGGGGGGGGGAGATACTGTACCTTTTGAAGTATGGACTGATCATAAAAATTTGGAAGCTCTAACCCCCCCCCCCAAATTATCAATACTTCAACCATTTTAACTTCACCTTAAAGTATTTCCCAGGCTGAATTTTTTGGCTGACACCTTGTCTAGAACGCCCCAGTTCAAAAGTCACCGGGAGGAAGTAATCAACTCCATTATTCCCCTGCCGCAATCTGCTTCTCAAATAATAACTAGATCATAAACACAAGGACCACCTGATGGTCCTGACGATCGCTTACTGAAGGAACTAAAGGAGCAATTAGAGACTGACACCTGGATCAAAGACAATAAATTATTTTAACCTTTAGGGGAGAACTAGCCTGGAAAGGCTCTAAGTCAGTGGTGGCGAATCTTTTAGAGACCGAGTGCCCAAACTGCAACTGAAAACCCACTTATGCATCACCAGGTGCTGGGTGGGCATGGCCACAGAGTGGGCGTGGCTATGGTAGTCATGGCAGTGTGGATGGGTGTGGCCACGATATTGCTCCTGGGGAGGGATGCCTGTGGGAGCAGGGATGGGGGAGATCCAGGGCTTCTCTGGTGGGGCAGTGGGTAGGAGGCTCATCCTACAGGGTGAGGTGAGGCAACGGAGGGGGGAGCGCAGGGGTGCCATTGCTGTGGGGCAAGGCAAGGTGGGGACTAGTTGCAGACAAAGGGGGGCTCTGGTGAGGAGGTTGAAGAGGGTTTAAGCAAGCTTAGCAACCAGAGTGGGGATCCCCCCCCAAAAATAAACATGCTTCGTGGGTAACCTCAAAGTACTACAGAAGAGACCAAACCTGCTGCAACTACTCAGCAGATGTTAGGGGAATAAAAACCAAACAGCCCCCCTGCCAATTCCTAATGAAAGCCTTGGACAGGGGGAAGAACATGGGCAGGCTGGTGTCTTGCTCAGCTGATGGCTTGGAGGAGAAGGGCAGCTACACCCCCTCCCAAACGCTGCCCTCTCACGAAAGCAGGATGAAAACTCCAAAAAGCAACAAGGAAAAAAAATTAAAACAGAAGAGTGTCTCACGATGGTTTTCTTCCCCACTTCCTTCTAGCTGCAGGTTAAATATGTAAAGACCACAGAAGAAAAAACTTGGCTTTCTTTTGTTTTAATTCGGAAGGAACAGAAGGATTGGGGGGAGTTATTTCTTTCAAAGGAAGGGAGAGAGGGGCTGGGGGAGCACGGCAGGAGAATGGCGATGGTGCAAGGCTTCTGGCTATGCAGGACGGCGTTGGGGGGGCGTTCTTTTTAATAGAGCAAAATGAGGCAAAAAGTAAAAATCCCTCACTCACTCCACCTCCCAAAAACACAATAACAGAGCTTTCAATGATACAAACAACTTTTTATTGAAAAGTAAAAGTTGCATTTGGCATGCTTTTAAAGAATTAATGTGATTTTTGCTGTTGTATGCCTGCTGATAATTTATCTACCCTTGGCTCATAGTTTGTAAGTTTGAGAGCAACACATGCAGCACTCAGGTTATCTGTTATCTGCTTCTGGTATCAGATTT